CGAAGCTCAAAACTTAAGGCTTCACCCTACCGAATCTGTTCGATCTGAGCTCTCAAACGATCATCTGAACTCTATATCCTCTTGACCTCTCCTACCAACTATAGCTTGACTCATAACTTGATTAATAATCCACCATCACTGGACAAACTCACACGTGCTAGGAGAGATCGTAACTCAGTAATTGATTTCCTACTCAAGGCGACTGTCACCACATTTCCCTTTCCCAGATGATAATCTATCACACATTTGTAGTCCTTAAGCAGCTCAACCCATCTACGTTATCTAAGGTTCAACTCCTTCTGAGTGAAAAGATACTTGAGGCTCTTGTGGTCGGTGAAGATGTGACATTTCTCACCGAAAAAATAGTGTCGCCAAATCTTCAAAGCAAACACCACTGCTGTTAGCTCCAGGTTATGAGTAGGGTAATTACGCTCGCAAGGCTTAAGCTGATGGGATGCGTAAGTAAAACTTTACACTCCTACATTAGAACACATCCAAGTCCATTCAATGAAGCATCGTTGTAAACTGTGAAGTCTTTACCTGACTCTAGTTGGGTCAACATTAGGTCTTGGGTCAATATGACCTTCAACTATTTGAAGCTCTTTTGTCGCTTCTCATTCCAAATGAAGGGGACTCATTTCTGAAGCAGTTTGGCTAACGAGGCTACTATCATCGAGAAGCCATGAACAAACCGACGATAGTACCCGACTAACCCGAGAAAACTGCGTATCTCTAACACATTCTTAGGTGGCTCCCACTCAACTAGAGCCTGAATTTTGAGGGTCGACTCTAATGCCATCCTCTGACACGACATCAATAAGAACTCATAATGACCATATATTGTTTTGAAAGTTGTCTTTGCCACATTTTTATCGTTGACTTTCAACAGATAGTATCCTGATCGTAGGTTAATCTTTGAAAAGATGCACGTTCCTCTAAGTTGGTCAAAGAGGTCATCTATATTGGGGAGTGGATAATGATTCCTGATGGTTAACTTATTCAACTACCTATAGTCAATGCACAATCTCATCGACCCATCTTTCTTCTTAACGAATAAGACTAGCACTCCCTAAGGAGAGATGCTCGATCAGATGAAGCCTTTCTCTAAAAATTCCTAAATCTGATCCATTAACTCCTTTAGTTTAGTCGGTGTCATGCAATAGGGGGAAATGGACACCGGAGTTGAACCTGGCATTACCTGAATGCCAAACTCCAACTCACGCTGGGGTGGTAAACCCGAGAACTCTTCTGGGAGCACATCAGGAAAATCTTGCACTGTTCAAATATCCTCGAGTGTAGGTGCTGAAATTCGGGTGTCGACCACGTGAGACAAGAAGGCCTTACACCCATGGTCAATCATTCTCTGGGCTTTCAAAAATGATGTTATCCTAGTCTAGCAGGATCTCTCACTGGTCATCACCAACTTGGTTTCATCGACTGCTTTGAGCATAAGTTGTCTGGCTTTACACCTCAAATTGGCATCGTGCTCGGTTAATCAATCCATCCCCAAGATCAAGTCGAACTCCTTGAAGGGTAACTCTATCAAGTCCGTTGGAAAATTCTGATCTTGAATCCTCACTCGGCATCGTCTGAAAATTTTATCCACCAGGATGTCTAAACTTAGTGGGCTTGAGACTGGAACATCTATCTCTAGTTTCTCTGCTGGGATTTCTATTTCTTGGACTAAGTCTGATTAGTTGTAAGAGTGAGTGGAATCGGGGTCTATCAATACAGTAACTAGTAAGGAGAAGACTGTACAGGTACTTGATATGACGCCTACCGCGTCAACCTCCTCTCGAGCTCGCACTATATACTGTTTGGAGGCCACTCTCGGCTCTGTTTCAGCCACCGATCTAGCCATCCCACAGCTCTGCTACTTAGATGTTGTACTGCCACCTCTAGCCGACCTTCAGCCCCTCTATACTGACGGTTCTGATCTTTGAGTCACCATGAACATTACACCCTGAGCTCCTAGGTAGTCTCTGATGAAGTGGACTAGGGAGCCATAACTATAACAACCCCTCGAACCTTGTTAGCACGTCCCTGGGTGACTCCTCCCATACTGAGCATAAATAGGGTGAGTGAAGACTCTGGTCGACCCACTAGCGTCACCCTCGGAGGCTAAGTTCAGTGGTCTCCTCTTGGAATTTGACCTACCTCCATGACTAGAACTCTGCCCAAACCTCCTCGATTGTGCTGTTGGAGGTCTCGACAAACCCTGACTATCTCTAGCCCTCTTAGCTGGAGTTTGAAATGGCCTCGTTAGTTCAGGGGATCTCTTAGTCTCTCCCGCAATCTCACCGGTCTGTCTGGCCTGCCTATCCAGAACCCTCTCCATCACCTTGTCCTGGTGGGTCAGCTAAGCAATACCCTGGGTGGATCGACTGCTAGGTGTGTTGGGATGTAGCAGCGAAGGCCCTCTCTAAACCTGCAATATCGGTGCTTCTCTGTCGGAATCAATTCTAAGACATATTTGCTAAGCTAGAGAAGCTCTCACTCATATTCAATCACTGAACGATCACCCTGAGTCAGACGTAGGAACTGCTCCATCAGGTCATCAGTGTGAGTTTGCCTAATGTACTTTTATATAAACTCCGAGAGGAACTGCTCCCATTGCCTCCAAGGTGTGATGCTTGTTGCATACTTGGTCATTCGGGTGATTCATGTCCTAAGAAGAAGGTTGTGAATTTAGTTGATGGAGATGATGCTAAGGGGAAGAAGACTATGGTTGTAGTTTTGGCTAATGCTAGAGATGGGCATGCTGTGGAGTTTGGTTCGAGTAGCAATTGTTCTACTCAGGTTAATGTTGTTAATTTGGGGGGGGGGAGCAGTTATGGCCAATGGTTCTGCTACTCCTAATGAAGAAATGGTCACTGTGCGTGTTGTTGATGATAATTTGGTAGGTTTGGGGTCTTTTGGTCCTATTACCTAGGTAAATGAAGTTGGTTTGGGGGTGTTGTTAAGACGGTTAGGGAGGGTCTTGATGTGGATGTTGTTCAGGTCCATAGTCCCAATAGATTTGCTTTGTTGTCTGAGCCGAGTGGAGCTCATGTGGATACGGTGATTTCTCCTAAAAAATCATGTGCTGCGGCTGAGGGGGTTGCGAAATTAATGCATTTGTTGAAAACCAAGGATAAAGGTGGCGGTACGAATAGAAAAAAAGAATGGTAAAGGTGGGTATAAGGGTGGTGTTTCTTCCTCCTTGAGATGATTATAACGTGGAATGTTCGGGGTTGTAATGACCCTTTAAAGCAGAGAAGTATTTTGAGGTTAACTAAGAAAATGCATATTAAGGTTTTGTGTTTGCTGGAAACTAATCTCTATTTATTCAGAGGCTGTTAATGAGAGGATATAGATTCTGACTAAGAGTTATGGAAGGTTGAGGAACTTTGCAAGTCTGATCAGCATGTTACTTGTTGAAAGTTAATCTCTAAAGACATGTTGTCTTTAAAACAGGGTGGTAATTGTTATATTCGACTTTGTCCATCCTCTGCTTAACTCGTCTGTTATCATTAATACAAGTCTTCAAATGGGTGTTGAGTTTGTGAGACGACGATTTTGGATTAATGCAATTCAAATTTTAATAATACATGTACATCAACCTCAATGTCACGTGTTTGTGGTTGGAATTTAATATAATAAATTGATGTTATTAAAAATATTTATACTAAATTAATTTAATTATTTGTATACAAATATCAAAATGGTTGGAAAATAAGTAGTTCAAATTAAAAATATTTATACTAAATTAATTTAATTATTTGTATACAAATATCAAAATGGTTGGAAAATAAGTAGTTCAAATCAACGAGAATTAGTTTTTCATGGTAAACAGCTCGATATCGCTTAAGCAAGATTTCTATTTCGAATCCTTGTATATACAGAAAATCACTGTTGGGAGATTCACCCACCAAAATCAAGTGTGCAATGCGGGTCAATTCAAATTAGTATAATATAAACATAATTACATTGTTTGTTTTCCTAAACAATTTCTTATCTGAGATTAAAACTTTTCATAATATATATATATAAAAGAAATATTATTAAAACAAAATTATTAAAACTTACATATATGGACTTATATCAAAATGCATATATTGGCCAGTGAATTTTAAAACATAAAATAATATTTTTTTTTCAAAAGTTGTAAAAAATTATCATTATATTTTATTAAAATAATATAAAATTAGTATCTATCGATCTTTGGTAATTTATTAATATATTATAGGGATTATTTTATAATAATTTAACAAATTTAATGAGCAATTTATAAATTTTAAAAGTTTAATAATAAAAATAACCATTTAAATATAATTTGATGACATCTAATATATATTTACCCTTCTTTTTAGGATAAATTACATATTTAGTCACCTAGTTATTCTTGCAGTTCCATTTTGGTTACTCTATTATTTTTTCTTCAAAATTATATATAAACTTAAATTTTTGTTTCACTTTGGTCCTCTATTGTTAAGAAATAAACAAAAATGCTAATGTGATATTTAAAAAAATAAATGATGACGTGATATTATTTTATGATGGTATATCAATATTACATTAATTTTTAATGGTAAGTGACTGAAATGAAATGAAAATGTAAGTTTATGTATAATTTTAAAGAAAAAAAGATCATTGGATGACCAAAAAAACCATAAAAATAATTGGATAAATAAATCAATAATTTATCCATCTTTTTATTCATCAACTTTAGTTCTTTACTCAACTTTTCCCACGTTAACCAAACCGAAAAGCAATTGTACCATGTTTCTTTCTCTCTCTATAAATGATAAAGTGCCCCCAACCAATTGAAATAGACAGCGGAAAAGAAGAAAAAAAATAATGTTTCTTTCCATGTTTCGTCGTTTCTGACTGGACAAACCACATGTTCCACGAGAGGCAAAAATGGGCATCCATGGTTTGGCTATAAATATCATACCAAAATGGTGAAGCAGAATCACAACTACTTACACCAACTTAGAAGAGTGAAAAAGAGAGTGAAAATGGCATCGGAATTGACATTGGCATTGCCCAGGTTTGTGGCTCTGAAAGGAGACAATGGTCAGTATATGTGCGTTGGTGAAATCCAGGGGCGACAACATTTGCAGTTTACAGCAAGTGATATCAGTGATCCAAATGTAGCTATGGAAATCTTGCCTGCAAACGATGGGAACGTCCGCATCAGGCATATTTCTTCAGGTAAATTTTGGAATTTGGGTTACAATGATTTTATTTTGGCAGATGCAGATAAAACTAGCGATTCCGACAACAACACCTTGTTTCGACCCATCAAAGTTAACACCAAATCAATCGCTTTTATAAACCACGGCAACAATCAGTTCTGTAAGCGCTACAGTGCAGGCTCTTTGATGATCAGCGACTTCAAAGCAAGCATCGATATTACAGACTTTTTTGCTCGGCTAAAGGTGGAAGAGACTGTCACCAAGAGGGAGATTTTTAATATCAAATACCGCCTCGATAAATCCAGGGTCTACGACAATGAAACCGTAGTCTTGGTTGAGAAACCTGTAATCAGCCGTAACCCCAATTCGAGCACTCCCGTGGAATTGACGCTCAGCTATGAAGATGTCAAGTCTAATATATGGAAGACTAATCTTTCGCTCAAGTTGGAGGCGAAAGGGACCTTCGACGTCACCAGCTTTCCGATCATCATTGTCGATGGGAGGGTCCAATCACTCAATCAAGAACAAAGAGGAAATGAGTTGGACGAGACCATGATTACGACCACAATAAAGAAAGTTGTGCACAAATTTGATTTGCCCCCCAACACTAAGGTGGTGCTGAGTTTGACTGCAACAAAGGGCAAGTGTGATGTTCCCTTCACATTCACGCAACGTGACACTCTGATCAACGGGAACACTTACACAACTGAAGTGGAAGATGCCACTTACACTGTTTCTAATTACTACAACCTCCAATTTCAGACCAGAGAAGAACCGATTGACGCCTAGGGCATAACATAAGCACACACTGTCTGTTTGTGTGCAACTACTGGATAAAATAAATTAGTGCTCCTTTCATGGAACTTAATGTGTGTTTTCCTTTTATGTATTAATAAATCTCATGTACTTTTAATGTGGGTTTACCCCACAAACTACTTCTATCATGAGAATAAATAAAAGAAATTATGTGTGTTATGCAATCAACTGTTTTTTCTTTTGCTTCTTTCCTTTATGTGTGTTATTCAATTTTTAATAAATTGAATTGAAAACTCTAATCATTATTTCCTTTTTTTTTTCTTATGTTGTTTCGCTCTTAATGAATTGAACTGAAAATTGAATTGAAACGAAGCATCTTAATCTGCTTCACTATTAATCTTTCTTATGACATTACCTTTTTTATTTCTTTGACGTATATAAAGGTCAAGGAAATATGAGAAAACACATCATGGATATGTTTCATATTGTTTCAAGACTTAAATCACTTAAGATTGTGTTTTTCTGAAAAATTATTTGTTCTTATGACTCACTACCGCTTCCTATAGAGTTTAATCAACTCAAATAGAAAAATGAAGTTTAAATGAGTTCATTTTTCATTTTATGCAAGAGGAATAAATGTTGAAGCATAATAAGTTTGAAAGTACTAATTTTAAAAGTGTATATAAAAATAAAAGCAAAAATAAAATCAAAATACAGTTGTTAAGGGTCTCATAAAATTGTTTCCACTTATGTGTTTGAACTACTTATTTTTTGGGTTGTACTACCGGTTCCAAGACTTCGTTCTGATTAATTTGGTTCGAACCGCATTGCATACTTAACTTTGGTAGGTAAATCTCTCAGCAGGGATTTTCTGCATATACAAGGATTTGAACTAGAAATCTTGTTTAAGCGATATCAAAATGCTTACCACGATTTCGTTAATTCTCGTTGATTTGAACTACTTATTTTCCAACCATTTTGATATTTGTATACAAATAATTAAATTAATTTAGTATATATTTTTAATAGCATTAATTTATTATATTAAATTTCAACAACAAACACGTGACATTAAGGTTGATGTACATATATTATTAAAATTTGAATTGCATTAATCCAAAATCGTCGTCTCACAAACTCAGCACCCCTTTGAAGACTTGTATTAATGGTAACAGACGAGTTAAGCAGAGGATGGACAAAGTCGAATATATTCCAACTGGGTTTTTCATATTCCAAGGGATCTTCCATATCTCTCGTTACAGTAAAACACTGCGTACATATCTTGAATATATTCCATCAGGGATGCTTAACATTTTAATCAATTTTAAAATTTTTGGAGGCCACCTGGAATAGAGATCCTTACAAGAAGATAGTTTTTTAGTGTTGCTTATATCCTTCCCTGGATTGGCTGTTGGTTTCATCATGTATACAATAGAAATCAGCAAAGCCAAACTTGTTTCACCAACCCTAGATGTAAGATCCAAAACAATTTCCCATCATTCCTATAAAACACATCTCTGAAATATAAACCCCGATAATTATAGAAATCACAAAAAGAATTGCATTCCTCTAAAATAAATTTTTTTCGTAATTCTAAAGTCTAAAACATATTATATATTTATAAAGAAAACAAACTCGATCACTAAGAATCCTTACTCCATAAAATTTCTTACCTAAATAAATTTAATCACCATGTAATCTCCAACTGATATAATTGCAATGAATTCAGTAACCATGCTCCCAGAGTAACAGTGCAGGTTGATTGAGGCATCTTCGCCTTCATAGAAACGATGAGAGAGTCCCTTTCTCTAGGGCAAATACATCTCGATGTTGGTTAAGGCATAATGGAGGAACTTTTATTGTTAGAGTAGAGGCAACTCGACCCCTTGAGTAAATTTCATAATTGTATGCTTGGGGTCACTACAGCAAAATAGGTTTTTAGCGGAGTTTTTTAGTCATATAACGGTGTTTTTAAGCGCCGCTAAAAACCCTTCTGGCGCAAAAACAAACGCCGCTAAAATAAACTCCGCAAAAGTTTGCGGCGTTTGTGAACGTAAACGCCACTAAAGGTTATGCTTTTTAGCGGCGTTTGTAGATAGGTTAGGTCAATTAGCAGCGTTTTTAAAACAAACGCCGCTAAAAGTTATGCTTTTTAGCAGTGTTTATTTTACAAACGCCGCAATAGGTTAGGTTATTTAGCGGCGTTTGTAATAGTAATGATATATAGTGGCATTTTTCACCCAAACGCCGTTAATAGTCATGACTTGTCGTGACATTTTATTCACAAACCGCTAAGGTATGCTCTAACCAAATGTTAAGTAATCATGGTATCTATACATTATCCAAAGATGTGTGCATTAAAAATTTCTACGAAAGCATTTAAGAAGAAAAGAGAAAGAGGATGTAACTAGAGTTAAATAAAGTAGAAATAAACATGTATCAATTTGAAATTTACGAATTTATAAATTTCAACAAATCATGTACTCTTTTGAAACAACAAATTCAACTGTTTGATTAGCAAAAACCCAACTCTAAGCATGAGTTTCAGATTGGATTTCCAGAGAGTTTCTTCACAGCGTTCTAGGCCGAATCTTCACTAGCCTTTGTGATCGCCAATCCGCCACATGCTCCGCCGCATGGAAATGTGTCGTCCAACACTCACATGGAGCAGCCGAATCGCATATATAACAGTAACACTGCATCAAATCCAAACAAAATTCATTACAATTTCCTCTCATCTCAATCCCAATCATCCTAGAAGTTAATCCGCCAATAAGTAAAAGATTATCTCTTTGCATACCAAATCACAGTGTTTGTCATGAGGTGTAGTATCAAATGGAAATTGCAGACAAAGATGCCTTGAATGTGGATAATCTCTGCAGGCCACCTAAAACAACATCAAGAACAGAATTAAAATAACAAAAAAACTAAAGATCGTTGCTTTTTGGTACAATTTCCAGGAAAATAGCACTACCAAATCTGGTTGCTCAAGGAATTTCAGCAGCAGATCCGTGTTTGATTTCTTCATTGGGGTTCCAGTTGATTTCTTCTACGATCTCCAATCGAAATCAAACATTAACTATAACAACCAGAACCATATTTTGCATTAAAATAAATACTCGGGAGAACGTAAAGCTGCAGAGTATGTAACTGTAAATCGTACTGTAAAATCACAGAAACAATGAAACCAGCGCACCTGATCCTGGTCTCTAGTATCATTAAGGCATGAACTGGAATCAAATGCCAAATTTGGAACTTTTCTCTGTTTTTGAAGCTGTCTGTTTCCTGGGGGAAAAATCATATAAAAGCATTAGGATGTTCTAGGAGTAAAGTGTTGTGCAGGCTTAAAATTATTTTAGAAGCTAAGCTTACGAAATCAACATAATCACAAAAAGACTTGAGAACTATTCTCATCAAAAAAATGCATACGACAAACCCATAAACAAAATTCTACCCGGGGGAAATGCCTAAACATTTTTTATTTTAAAAAAGTAAAAGCAAATCGAGCTAAGAAATGCAATCAGAACTTCTCATAACCCAATTAAAATAACAGAATTAGATTAAACTAATTTTCAACTTCTTGTTCAATTCAAGTCTAAAAACTGTGAATTTCCTCTGTACAATGAATTGAAGTTAAATCAAAATTCTATTTTGATTCCTTCAGTGTCAATTTTCCGGGAAAATAACAATACCCAGAGAGCTGAATTAAACTAATTTTGAAGCCTTTGGTCCAATTCCAAGCAAGTTTTACTTTTTAAAAAGTGTGAATTTCCTCAGCAAATATATTAGAGAAAAAATGAGTTTAAATAACAAAAACCTGGCCACGCTCGGCGACCACGGAGAGTTCTTCATCAACATCGCCATCATTGACGGCGGAGAGCTTGGCAACGTCAACGGGGTTGAAAGGGTTAAAATCAAGAATAAAGCAATCATCGGTCTCCTCAACGCGCTTCATGTCGATGATCTTTTTCAAACAAAAAATAGATCTCAAATGACTCTCATCCACCGGATCGTCCTTGTTCTCCCCCTTCTTTATATGTGTCAGTTTCTTTAAGGGCGTATCTTTCTACGCCGATGAAAGTACGGTCACTACCTTGTCCGCAGTTGGTGTTTCCCTTTTGCTTGATTTTCTTCGCTTCAGCGTTAAATCCTTGTGTTGTTTTAGTATCGATTAAAACAAACAATTTTGAATCTCTTTCTTTCTTGAACATGTAATTTGAAATATAACTGTTGGCTTCGGCTTCCCCCCAAATAGAAAATAGCCTCAGGAACAAGGGAGCCCGACATTGATTTGGGTTTTCAAAGTGTGAAGCAGAAGAAAGACAAACCTGTTGGTGACCGAAAACCGAGAACGGCAGCGTGATGTTGCGGTTGTGGTGATGGCTGCACGGTGGTGGCTTCACTGTGATGGCTGGGCGTTAGAGGAAAATTAGAAAAAATGGGAATGAAAAATTAGGGATTTGGAACCCGATGGGTTAAAAGGATTGTACAATTATGGCGTTAGGTGCATGACTATAGCAGCGTTTATTACCAAAATGCCGCTAAAGTGTATGATTATTGCGGCGTTTATTAGAAACACGCACTAAAGTGCATGATTATTGCGGCGTTTATAAAAACGCCGCTAAGGTGCATGATTATTACGGCGTTTATTACAAAAACGCCATTAAAGTGCATGACTATTGCGGCGTTTATAAAAAACGCCATTAAATTGCATGATTATTGCGGCGTTTATTTCAAAAACGCCACTAAAGTGCATGATTATTGCGGCGTTTATCTAAAACGCCACTAAAGTGCATGACTATTGCGGCGTTTATTACAAAAACGCCGCCTTTTGAGTCAATCGCGGCGTTTTTAGTAAAAACATCGCTAATGTCTTTGTTTTGTTGCGCCGCTTTTTATTCAAATTTTGTGGCGTTTTATTTAAAAAAAACGCCGCTACATAACAGTTTTGCTAGTGGGTGGAGGCAACTCTACGCCCTCATATAGGCTTCTCGACCATTTTTTTATGTGACTGCTGGACGTGTAGAGGCATCTCGATGTTTCTGTAGTAAAAGGGCAGAGGCATCTCGACATTACTTATCTGTAACGGATGTATCTAGACCCTTCTGGTCATTAATGAAGAGATAACTGAGATGCCCTTTTAGATAAAGTTTAGTAGAAGCACCTTAATACTCTTGGTCAGAGATGAGACATCTCGGCTTTGGTTGTACAGTGAAGATATCTCGAAGATATGCTACGTAGTAGACGATATTATTGTAAGAGAAATAAAACGTGGAATATGTCCTCTAAGAATTTATTATTGAAAAAGATGAAGGGGATTCATTTATTTAAAAGGCCAAAACTCGGCCTGGTATAAGTTAAACGACGTGATCTTGATAATTTAAATAGATGAACCCCCAAGGTACAAGCAATTCAAATTAAGTGTCCTTAATTGTAATCCTTGTAACGGACGGTGAGGAAATGAATATGCCCTAGAAGCTTTTATTTAATTAGACAACATTAATTAATTAATCTTAAAATAATATTACTCTAATGTTTGGCTTTGCTTGTAACTAGACAAACAACATGTTTGACGAGAGGCAAAAGAGAGAGTCCATGTTTCAGCTATAAATACCTTAGCTAGCCAGGGATTTTCCAAAGCATAAACACAACGAGTGAAGAAAGAGAGGTAGTGAAAATGGCATCCGCATCGAGATTGACATTGCCGAGGTTCGTGGCACTGAAAGGAGATAACGATCTGTATCTGACTATCTGTGTCTCAGCCCACTAAACGACCGACCCTATATGCGGTATGTAGCTACTGAACTCGGATATCCGACGGTCACTGTGGAGGTTATCGTTGCAAACGACAGAAATGTCAGTTTCAAGCAAACTTCATCAGGTAAATATTTGAGTTTGGGTGACACCAATTTCATTTTTGCAGATGCCGATGCCGCCAGCAACGACAACCCCAACACCTTGTTTCGCCCCTTCAAAGTTGACAGCCAATCCATAGCTCTTCTGAGCTCCGCCAACGATCTATTTTGTACCCGCTATTCACAGGTTTCGGAAATCTCGAGCGCCCTTCACGCAAACGAGGGTTTAACCAACTTGTGGGCTCGACTAAGGGTGGAAGAGCCTGTCACCAAGAGGGTGATTTCCGAAATCAAATACAACCTGGATAAATACAGTGTCTACGACAGTGAAACTGTGGTTTTGGCAGAGAAATCGGCTATCAACACTGACAAAAATTCGAGCACTACCGTGGACTTGAGTCTCAGCTATGAAGATGTCAAGTCTACTTTATGGAAAACTAATCTTTCCCTAAAGTTGGGAACAAAAGGCAGTTTCGACGTCGAGAGCATTCCAATCATTGGTGATGGTGGGAGGTCGAAATAATCGAACTAGACCAACGACAGAATGAGTTGGATGACACCAAGATAAGCACCACAATAAAGAAAGCTTTCCGTAGAGTTGTGCCTCCGATGAATAAGGTGGTGGTGAGCTTGATTGCAACCAAGGGTAAGTGTGATGTTCCCTTCACTTTCAAACAAACTGTAACACCCTCATACCGATGCGGGTGACCAGATCCGATCTGAGGTGTCACATTAGGGCAACCAGAGCGACCTACAATAAAAGTCCAGGAAAAATTAAAAATTTTGTTAAAACATGTAAAATCATAAAACAATTTATAAATAAAATACAAGTTCAAAAAACTATTCATATATTACAAACAAAATTAAAATCATACAAGTTTCAGACTCAGTATATAAAAAAAAATCAAATGTGACCTACATGTCCCCTAATTACACATTGTATCGTACTCTGCAAGCAAAGTCGAAAAAACTCCCAAAACTAAAGTTGATAGCTGCACTGGATCGATTCATTTAACCTGAAATGGTGAGTAAGAGTGAGCTTTGAGAAGCTCAGTAATACAGAACTACCAGATGAATGCAATAGGTCATCGAGTATAAGGTAAAGCATAAATTCCTTAGCGGGACAGTCATCATATTCTAGTGGTGAATTTATATTCCATTAGCTAAGTCTTCAGTTACAAACATGAATTTACGGTCTGAAGGAAGTATTCAGAGAGAGACAGATTCAGAAGATTGCATTGGGGAGTCTAGTGTGTTCCAACAAAACAGAGAAATGTTTACAAATCCTTTAAAAACATTATTAGTTTAAAACATATTTTAAAACCACAGTAATACCCTCCAACGAACACCGATATGCAATTCCCCAGAACTGCATCCATAAGGACTTACCTTAGGTCCATTGGGCGTAGGTGCCAACCTAAGGGAGCTCCTTGGGTCCATAAGGTCTTACCCTAGCTGAAGCGTAGGTGCCCACCTAAGAGGTGTGCCCTCGGGCCCATAAGGACTTACTCAATGTACACAACAGATGAGCCACCCTGAGGGAGTACCTTGGGGTCCATAAGGTCTTACCACTAGGCTCATTGGGCCCAGAAGCCCACCCAAGGGTCGCCTTAGGTCCATAAGGAATTACCATCTTGATCATTACTGAACCTGCATGAGGAATTACCAGCTTGATCAGAGCTGAACCTACATACTCCATAATCTTACCCAGACAGTATCACAATAATTGGTTCATACAGTAAACAATAGATTCCATGATCCATAAATCAGGAACGATTATATAACCAGAGAACACATATCATGTAGCCATAGTTCATAAACAATAAATCAATACATCAATAAATCCGTAATTTCGGAAAATCGCAGTTTAAAGCAGGTAAAACAATTATATGGCACATAAGGAACACACTAGAGGATCCATATATTTTTCAGAGGTACTTAGCAATTATCAAGCGGGGGAAACACGAAACTTCTGCAAACTGATTGAATTTTAGAAACGAGGTCCTTATGAAAAGGAGGTTTGATAGCTAGCGGATTCATCAGCCATTAAGGAAGTGATTTATCAATATCATAGTATTCAGATATATCAGCAAGGTATTCAGGAGTTATTGCATCAAAATTTTATTTAGGATTCAGACATTCCCAAAGTAATTCCATCAATTAGGCTTATAAGGGCATTTTAGTTATTCAATTCCTGAGAAATTTGATAAATCAATTTAATAAGGGTATGCAACGATTTACAGAATTCTAGATTTCAAGCATCTTAACAGGTTTTCAATTCCAATCGCACTGTACAATTCCCAGTAAAGGTGACACTTATCAATTATGTAGATAGAGAAACTTACGAATATTCATTTCTTAAAACTGACTGCACTATAGAATCGAAATGATCACCTTCAGAACCATCTTTGGACTAGTCATGAGAAGACGAACATGTATTTAAGCGGTATTTATTTACTTCCCGTAATGTAACAGTATTAGGGATGATCGATCTACTTAGGTCGTACTCTATAACCTCAAGGGCGCTACAGCATTTAAAACTTCACCAGTATCTTCAGAAGTTACCCAAAGGCATTGCTTAATCTAAGTCATGAGGATATTTAGATCATTCTGGTATTCGAGGTAGATTTATTTATTTCAGAGCTTAAGGGTATTCAGTCATTCAAGAGCTTAGGGTATTTTGGGTCATTTTACATTTCAGGGGTATTTCAATCATTTCATTCCGCTCAGTCTTTACATTTAATTCAAACTTATCATTTATTTCAGTCATTTCAAACAATTCTGACAATAAGAGTACTTTCGATAAGTTAGTCTTCGGGTGTATGCTCATAAATCAGAAATTTTGAGTCTAGTGTCTTCTCAGAGGTTACAAACTGTTTATTAGAAATCTTCCGAACAAAATAGGAACTTAATAGTTAAATCAGTAATTTATCATATTAAATACGAATTCTCAAGGTACTTTCTCAATCAGGGTCAATCCGGGCTATTTTTGACTCTTAAGGGTAATTCCATAATTTATCATCTAGGTATTTCGTCATTTGTGTGTGTTGCGTTCTTATTCAATTATACTAAATAAATTCGTGTTTCCTTCATACGGAAGCACTGTTTGTTATCTTATTATTATTTTTTAAGGAAAAGTTAACTTTTGTTGAAGAACGATATGAAAATCTAAGTTGATAGGCTTACCCTATACAAGCGATCTTAGTATCTTTTAAAATCACTAGATAAAGCATGAGAGATACCGCTCAAAACAACAAAAATATCGGATTATGTTGAAGAATCGGGTAAAGAAAATGAAAGAACACAAGAATTTTTAACGAGCTTCGCTCACCCCGCTCCATCCCCTGTCCTCTTTACCGGTATATTTATGAGTCATACCTAACAGATTATATAAATGCTCTTGTATTGTATATAAGTTGCTTATTTTCTGGAAGAATATTTTATTAAACAAACCTAAATTATAGGCCTCGTTAAAAACTTTCCTAAACCTAGATGGAGGAAAATAGTACTCTTAACTAGGAAAAGCGAATCTAACCAATAAACGCTAGCAATACAGCTTCAAACAACCAACACTGAAGCCCTTACACGATGTATATAAGTTGTTGATCTAAATATTATTATTTTCTAATCAATGTCTCCAAACATATTGAATTATAGGTGGCGCAAGAATTTCATAAAAGACCTTGTAAACAAAATGCATATAGATGGTATTCAAGGTCCAACAATCATGAGATGATGTGGTTAGCGGTTTTAATCATTTTTTAAGATAAAATGAGCAAGGATAAAGTAAAACCCGTTGTACAAAGTGGTTTGCGATGGTGGAAGTCTGGTCGGAGGAGATAGAGTGTCGGAGCCGTTGGGCATGGTTGTCTTGTAAAGGAATCTTGACATTTGCATTAAGCCAAAAAAAATTCCGAAATATAGCAAGAAAATAGGGTGAATTTATCTCTATCGATGACAAACCTTGATCTCGAGTTCATTCGAAAAGGTTTTACTTTAAATTACCACGGATTATCCAAGTCGAGTGGAAGATAGATTCGACATGAAGGTGGGGAAAGGGCTTTTTAAAGTCAGTGTGTCCGAGTTTGAGTCGTGCTTTAGCCCAGTATCTATTTGAGAGGAGTTGTCACGGAAACTGTTGAGAAATGATGAAAATTTTAAACTATAAGTTATATTAATTATTGGTAGGATCAAAAGTTTGAATAATAAAATTATGATTTTATATTTTACTCTATGAGACATTTAAAACGATCTATAATATTCTCAAAATGATGGAGTGATAAATAAGAAACTAATAATCAAAATAAGCTAAATGTAACTGTTGTTAAAGGCCAATATGTTGGGTTTAGAGGCCACTTAGGTACTAGGATCTTTGAGTTATTCGAAAACTTTGTCAAGAAGGCATGTGTATTCATGCCAACCTTATTTATATGTCCGTCCTAAGTCCAGTTTCATTCCGTGGAATCCTCTGTTTGTGTTGTAAGTTGCCTTGGTTGCACTGGAAACAAATGCACTGGAATTTTGTGTTTGTTGGATGTTTATTGCTACATTTTGGTGGTGGTGTTATTTGTTCACTGAGTTGTCTTCGTGGGTGGTAGTGTTCTATTTATGTAGTACTCTTTTCTCCCAATTAGGTTAGAGAAGTTTTTAATGAGTCTCGTAAGTACGACTTCACACTCTATTAAGGTTAGGTGATTACAAAGTAGTATCTGTTCTAAATACTCTCAAATCATTTGACAATGAACGTTTAATCACCCTATCCTCTAAGAATATAAACAATTCATTTAATCACCGAAGTAAATTGATTCATGCAATGTTTTAAAATTAGGACATGGTAAAACTACACCTTTACCCCTAAAATATATAAAATTTTGATAATCCTTTAGATAATCATATAAATAAAAATTAAAATATTAAAAATTATATTCTAACCTTTCTACCCATATACATCAAAATATCTCGTGTTATAAAAGTTCCTACACTTAAAAGTGGATTACTTTCATGTAAGAATAATAAAATTCTTTACAAGATAATGTTTGAGAACTTGTCTCATTACGTGAATGTACAAAGCTGAATGGTTGCAAATAGATATTTAAAAACCAAGATGGATGTAAATGTTAATTGTTAATAGGTATAAAGCATGTCTTGTATCTAAATGATATATGTAAAAAAAAAAAGACATCAATTTTGTAAACTTCTTTTTAGTCTTGTTGAAAAACTTTTTCAAAATAATTATGATTTTTTTTTTTGGATAATTCAGATTTTTATTACCCAAAATAGCAAAGTCATGCTACAACCAAACAACCAATCAACAAAAGAAATAAAAGCTTAATTACAAATCAATGATTGGTTAGACTATACCCCAAGCATTACTGAGGTTAGAGTTGGTATTATCTAGTCTGTTAATAACTTTGTCCCTAAGTCGAATACCAACAGTATCAATGATGTCTTTAAGAATAACAACAACATCCCGAAAACGAGCCTGAAATATTCTCTGATTCCGTTCCTGCCATAGGTAATAGATAAACGCATTCCACGAGATCTTCAAAATGGTGGTGAGTAGAGACTTCCCCTTCCAAGTTAAGCAAGCACGAGATACCATTCCTTCCCATGTCGAAAAATTCTGATTCATCCCGTTCAGATTTAAGATAGAATTCCATAGACGAGCAGCCATGGAGCAGTTAGAAAATAGGTGGTTTCTAGTTTCTTGATGAGAATTGCAGTTAACACAGAGACCATATGTGGAAACTCCCATTTTTTGTAATCGATCTTTGGTTGGTAACCTGTTCAAAATGGCCATCCAAGTGATTAGGCTGTGTTTCGGTATATGAATAGGGTACCAAATGAGACGATGCCAAGAAACTTTCTGCCCTTGTAACCAGATGCTATCCCATATTTCCTTAGTCTGCAGCGAACCAGTAGAAATAAGAGGAAATGCAGTATGCCTAAACTTTAAAATCCGTCTAAAACCCCAGCTGACATTAGTTTCAGGTTCGAATTGCCAGAAATCCTGAATATATTCGACGTAATGCAATGTATTCGACTTTATCCTGAATTACATAAGTTAGATTTTAATTGTATTTCTCAGGATATAAACAACACTAAAAAAACTAATATATTCGACGTAATGCAATATATTCGACTTTATCCTTCATCTGCTTAACTCATCTGTTATCTTTATTACAAGTCTTCAAAGGGGTGTTGAGTTTGTGAGACAACGATTTTGGATTAATGCAATTCAAATTTTAATAATATATGTACATCAATCTCAATGTCACGTGTTTGTTGTTGGAATTTAATATAATAAATTGATGCTATTAAAAATATATACACTAAATTAATTTAATTATTTGTATACAAATATCAAAATGGTTGGTGATTAAAATTAGTTCAAACACATATAATATAATGCATATACGTCAATCTCGATGTCACGTGCTTGTTGTTGGAATTTAATACATATACGGTTTGCCATTCTTGGAGTAAGCGTTGATGTAGGATTTCTTTCTATACATTATACTATATATTAGGGATAAATTACAAGAAGGATCATTTAATTATAAGATAGTTTCAATTTGACCACTTTAACGCCCTAAAATTAGAAAAGTGGTTCGATCGAGTCCAATTTAAAATCTCTTTGGTGTAGGACCATATATATATATATATATATATATATCCAGCGGAGAATTATGTTTGAAAATAAAAGAAGTTGGTTGCATAAAACACATGATTTTTTTATTATTATTCTCATGATTGAAGTAGTTTTTGGGTAAACCCATAGTAAAAGTACATGAGGTTTATTAATAGATAGATCTTCGATATGTGAACATATAATATTTTTGTTCTTAAATGTATCGTACGAATCAATTTGACTGCTATCCAACGATCCATACTCAAATTGTTTAAATATCTACTTAACATCCTAAAATCATATGTTATGTCTAAATGTGTACAAACCTGAACATACATTAAGCTCTTTATTTATTTAGTAAGTATATGAAATCTATTTACATTTTCTTAGTTCAAAATCATTCTTAAGGCATTGATTAAAACTAAACTTGTTTCCTTTGATAACAATGGTATATGCTGATTTACTTCCACTGAACTTGAGGTATACACAATCGTTAACAAGATTTATCTCAAAATCAAACGAAATAATCACTTAATAAAATTTTGTTATATCATTGAACAAAGTCATACTTAAGCTCATAAATGGATTTCCCTAATTTATATATAATTAATTTTTATCATTAGATATAATTGTCTAATTGCACTAAATAAATCATCTAATCAATGTTATCATTGAGAAATACAATTGTGAAATCTAACTTATATAACTCAAGATTAAATATGAGCAACAAGTATCATGATTATCCTGAAAAAAATCTTTCAACGAAACCAAAGAAAAAATCTCTACAAAATTGATGTCTTCTTTCTAAGTATATCCTTTAGATACAATGCATGCCTTATACCTATCAACATTAACATTTACATCCATCTTGGTTTTAAATATCCATTTGCAGCCAATCTACTTTGTACATTCACGTAATGAGACAAGTTCTTAAACATTATCTTGTAAAGAATTTTACTCTTCTTACATGAAATTAATCGACTTTTGAGTGTAGAAACTTTTATAACACGACAAAAGTTAATTAGATCATCATTCATCATTCCACTATCATCATTATTTCTTAGAGAAATAAAACATAATCATTTAAATAACATTTCTCTCATCTCGTGGATCTTCTTAATGACACTTGTTCTTTGAGTTTATTGTATCTTGTTGAGGTCCTAGATTAATTTCTTGATGACGACATGTATGAACACACGAATATCATCAAAAATGATAATACGAATCGCGTTATAATCCAGTTCCACCTCAAAAGTAATGCCTCAAACCTATATTTCTCTCTCCAAACTCAACATCCTCAAAAATAATGTTATAAGTCTCACCTAAAAAATATTTCTAGTTATGAGATAATAAAACTTATAACCCTTAAATCACTTAGAATAACCAAAGTAGTGGCTTAATGTCCTAATTTATTACAAAAGAGAAAAATCCTTTTTAACATATTGTTTTCTCTTTTGAGTTGGACCCTTAACAAATGTATTTTGATTTTATTTTTGCTTTTATTTTTATATACACTTTTAAAATTAGTACTTTCAAACTTATTATGCTTCAACATTTATTCCTCTTGAATACAATGAAAAATGAACTCATTTAAAGTTCATTTTTCCATTTTGAGTTGATTAAACTCTATAGGAAGCGGTATTGAGTCATAAGAACAAATAATTTTTCAGAAAAACACAATCTTAAGTGATTTAAGTCTTGAAGCAATATGAAACATATTCATGATGTGCTTTCTCATATTTCCTTGACCTTTATATACATCAAAGAAATAAAAAATAATAATGTCATAAGAAAGATTAATAGTGAAGCAGATTAAGATGCTTGTTTCAATTCAATTTTCAGTTCAATTCATTAAGAGCGAAACAACATAAGAAAAAGAAAAGGAAATAATGATTAGAGTTTTCAATTCAATTTATTAAAAATTGAATAACACACATAAAGGAAAGATGCAAAAGAAAAAACAGTTGATTGCATAACACACATAATTTCTTTTATTTATTCTCATGATAGAAGTAGTTTGTGGGGTAAACCCACATTAAAAGTACATGAGATTTATTAATACATAAAAGGAAAACACACATTAAGTTCCATGAAAGGAGCACTAATTTATTTTATCCAGTAGTTGCACACAAACAGACAGTGTGTGCTTATGTTATGCCCTAGGCGTCAATCGGTTCTTCTCTGGTCTGAAATTGGAGGTTGTAGTAATTAGAAACAGTGTAAGTGGCATCTTCCACTTCAGTTGTGTAAGTGTTCCCGTTGATCAGAGTGTCACGTTGCGTGAATGTGAAGGGAACATCACACTTGCCCTTTGTTGCAGTCAAACTCAGCACCACCTTAGTGTTGGGGGGCAAATCAAATTTGTGCACAACTTTCTTTATTGTGGTCGTAATCATGGTCTCGTCCAACTCATTTCCTCTTTGTTCTTGATTGAGTGATTGGACCCTCCCATCGACAATGATGATCGGAAAGCTGGTGACGTCGAAGGTCCCTTTCGCCTCCAACTTGAGCGAAAGATTAGTCTTCCATATATTAGACTTGACATCTTCATAGCTGAGCGTCAATTCCACGGGAGTGCTCGAATTGGGGTTACGGCTGATTACAGGTTTCTCAACCAAGACTACGGTTTCATTGTCGTAGACCCTGGATTTATCGAGGCGGTATTTGATATTAAAAATCTCCCTCTTGGTGACAGTCTCTTCCACCTTTAGCCGAGCAAAAAAGTCTGTAATATCGATGCTTGCTTTGAAGTCGCTGATCATCAAAGAGCCTGCACTGTAGCGCTTACAGAACTTATTGTTGCCGAGGTTTAGGAAAGCGATTGATTTGGTGTTAACATTGAAGGGTCGAAACAAGGTGTTGTTGTCGGAATCGCTAGTTTTATCTGCATCTGCCAAAATAAAATCAGGGTTACCCAAATTCCAAAATTTACCTGAAGAAATGTGCCTGATGCGGATTTTCCCATCGTTTGCAGGCAAGATTTCCATAGCTACATTTGGATCACTGATATCACTGGCTGTAAACTGCAAATGTGGTCGCCTATTGAATTCAACAACGCACATATACTGACCATTGTCTCCTTTCAGAGCCACAAACCTGGGCAATACCAATGTCAATTCGGATGCCATTTTCACTCTTCTAAGTTGGTGTAAGTAGTTGTGATTCTGCTTCACCATTTTGGTATGATATTTATAGCCGAAACATGGATGCCCATTTTTGCCTCTCGTGGAACATGTGGTTTGTCCAGTCAGAAACGACGAAACATGAAAGAAACATTATTTTTTTCTTCTTTTAATGGTGTTAATAACTCATCCATATCTTAATTGTCAAGATTAAAATAGTATATATATTAAATTAACTTTGGTGGGTAGATCTCCCAGCAGGGATTTTCTGCATATACAATGATTTGAACTAGAAATTTTGTTTAAGCGATATCAAACTGCTTACCACGAAAAACTAATTCTCGTTTATTTGAACTACTTGTTTTCCAACCGTTTTGATATTTGTATACAAATAATTAAATTAATTTAGTATATATATTTTTAATAGCATTAATTTATTATATTAAATTCCAACAACAAACACGTGACATTGAGGTTGATGTACATATATTATTAAAATTTGAATTGCATTAATCCACTCAGCACCCCTTTGAAGACTTGTATTAATGGTAACAGACGAGTTAAGCAGAGGATGGACAAAGTCGAATATATTCCAACTGGGTTTTTCATATTCCAAGGGATCTTCCATATCTCTCGTTACAGTAAAACACTGCTTACATATCTTGAATATATTCCATCAGGGATGCTTAACATTTTAATCAATTTTAAAATTTTTGGAGGCCACCTGGAATAGGGATCCTTACAAGAAGATAGTTTTTTAGTGCTGCTTATATCCTTCCCTGGATTGGCTGTTGGTTTCATCATGTATACAATAGAAATCAGCAAAGCCAAACTTGTTTCACTAACCCAAGATGTAAGATCCCAAACAATTTCCTATCATTCCTATAAAACACATCTCTGAAATATAAACCCCGATAATTACAGAAATCACAAAAGGAATTACATCCCCTAAAATAATTTTTTTTCGTAATTCTAAAGTCTAAAACATATTCTATATTTATA